GAGCCGGGAGACGGGCGCCCGCCGCAGTCGCTTCGCCCGGGAGCGGGAGCCGGACTCCAGCCCCCTGGCCGACACCTCCCGCGGCCAGACTCCACCAACGCCTCCCGCGCGTGGGATCCTACGGAGAACCGAAGCCAAACAGGTTTCGCTGGGAATGGCCGGGCGCGAGAGACATTGACCGTGAATCCCCCCAGAGTAGCATGTGAACCGTTCTTAAGAGAACACACCTACTGGTTTGCTAAAATGACCCGGGTCCCCAGCCAACTTTGGCGGCCGCCAGAGTCTGGCAAGGCTGGGGTCGGATCCTGCATCGGGTTCTACTCAGTGCCCGGCCCAGGGCCCCCCTCGACGCCCAGGCTATCGGGAGAGCACGGCCGCGTTCTCAGTTATTCGCTCGGCCATCTCATTTCTCTCTCCTTCCACGCCTTTGCCCCATCCCACCCCAGTCTCCGGCATCCGGGTCTCCAGCTCCCTTCCCTCTCTAGCTCTCCTCTCGAAGAATTCCCTTCTTGTATTTTCTTTTTTCCCCTCCCACCAGCTCCCATCGAGCGAGTGGAGCCTCCTCCCCCGCCACCGCCTCCCCTACGGCTTTGGCATGACTTGGGAGCTCCCGAGTTCTCCTCATCCTGACACTTCAAGGTGGACCGGGCTGCAGGTTCTGGGCCTGCACTTAACTCGGGCTGGGAGCTTACTGCTGTCCTTTGAGAACTCGAGCCCCCTGCCACGGACGGCAGGTCCCGCGTCACCCTGTCTTGTGTGAGTGGGGCACATCCCTGGCTCTTCAGCGCCGGGCACACAGTAGGCGCTCAAGAACTGCCAAATAAGTGGATGAATAAATGAGTGAGTAAATATGGCTTAGACACACCCTACTGTATAAAACACAGCAATCATAAAGCTTAACTAGATCCCCGAATTCAACCCACGAATATTTACTGAGCACAGCAATCCCTGTGCAGTGCTCCACAGAAACGACCCTAAAAGGAAGTAGCATTGTCATGGGAGGACTGTGGGGTCTGGAGTCGGGAACTGTCTTGGGTGTTTGGGTTACTTAATGAGAGACTCTGAGAAAGTCGGGTGTATCTCGAGGCCTCCTTTCCGAATCCTAAAGTCAAGACAGTGACGAAGACTGATCTCATGGGGCTGTTGTGAAGATTTGGTATATAATATATGTGAAGCTCAAACTCCGTACCTGGTGGCAGATATTAATATAACTCTAGACATAGAGCCCATAAGTTCTAAGTCCAGATTTTAATGTCCCAACGCGCAGTGACTGAGTTCACGGGTGCCTTGGGTGCAATATGCACTCCAGGGCGGGCCCCACAGCTAAAACATAGCAAGTGGATGGAGAAATGCAATTTCTCCGTTTTTAACCTAATTTTAATCTCTAAAGCCCGGACAATTTTCATCTGAGACCAGGCTTTCCGCATAAAGTAGATTGCTTAGTTTTCCTCTACCTTCCAGCCAGGATCGAGCGGCAGCACCCTAGGCCCATTCGCTCCACCCGCTGCTCTCGCGGTCCAGGGCTGACCAGCAAAGGGCGCGGCGCAGCGCTGGCTGGAATGTGGGTTTCCCGTAGCCCGAGAGCATCTTGGAACCCAGGGCGGAGCGGCGGGGCTAGCTGGCGCCGGGGACTGAGCTGGGAGTGGGAGAGGTCTGCGGATAGAATGCGTCCACGGTCTAGGCGGACTTCCCTACCCCGGGAAGCCTAGGCCATTTCCCGTGTCGGACCCTTTTGCCAGAAATTCCTTTAGAAAAATCCCTGACTAGAACGCTCTGGGAACCGCGGGGAGCTAGGGCCACGCCTGGCCCAGGAAGGGCAGCTCCTCGGTGGGAGGAGGTAGGGGTTGGAGAAGGGATCCCTGCAGAGGGACTTGCGCAGCAGCCGGAAAACGCTGGGAGGACTTGACTCCTACTCTTTCTAACCCACTGCCGCTGCAGGGTGATTACAGTGCCTCTCAGCGTCAGAGACCTCTAGGGGACAGGGTATTTTTGCAGGCCGCTGATGTCCCCACTCTGGTCCCAGCCTCTGGCGTCCTCCCTGCGCGGTTCCTGAGCAGAGCGCGCGCGGCGGGGCCGCGCCCAGGCACCAGGTGAGGAAGATGCGCGGGGCCCTGGGAGCGCAGAGCGGTCAAGTTGGGTCCTACAGACCCAAGGCGAAAATGGAGAAAACAGCGGGGGCGGGCGCGGAGAGGATATGTGTTGTGGTTGTTGATTCCAATCGTTCAATTTCTTGTATTTCGTCCGCAAAGAGCACTCGGGCCTGGGTTGTCCAGGACCCAGATGTTAACCGCCACATTGCTGGCACGGACGCGGTCCCGAGCGTGTGAGCTGTCTGCACGCGGGAACCCGGGCTCTTTCACTCGTTCCATTCCTTCATTTCTTCATTAATTTGCCCCCATGCATTGATTCACTTGGGCAGCTTTATTCGAGAGTGCACTGGTGCGGGCGGTGCTAAGGTGTGAGGGGTCAAAGTGACTCCTCCACCTCTCTGGTCATTACGACCTTGAGTCCTCCTGAGCTCCGCGTAGACCCCAAGTATCCCTAAAGCCCGGGTTTCGGAGCGCTGAGCGACATGGCCAGGGCTGGCGCCCTCCGAGGCATCCGCAACACCTGCTCTGACCAGCGCTGGAACAAGACCGCGGCCACTTGTTAAGAGGGGCTCATCGGTCGAGGCTCGGCTCAGTGAATTCGTAAGCAACTGAAACAAGAAGGGTGGAGACGGAAGGGCTGCGGGTCCTGCGGGTGCTTGAACCCGCAGGGAGGGAGGGAGGGGTTCCCGCAGGTCCGGGAGAACAGAGTCGGAGCGGCGGGTCCGCGTGTGACGACTCGGGGGCACAATGGACACCGCGCTGCACCACGCAGTGGACCTGTCAGCAGCACACACACCCGTGAGCTTCCTTTTCTGGTGCTCACTGCGTAAAACGCGCTCTCCGGTCCTCTCAAGTGATTTTTTTCTTTCCTTCTTTTCCTTTCTTTTTCTTTTTCCTTTTATCCTTCCTTGCTTCCCTACTTTCGTTCCTCCCTCCCCTCCGCTCCCCTCCTCTCTCCCCTCTCTCTCCCTCTCTCTCCCCTCCCTCCCATCTCTTTCTTTACCTCTGTTGTTCGCGAACATTGGTTCCAGGAGCACAGGGCTCGAAGTCAGAACCCGGAGTGCAAGTCGGGACGACTTCCTAGCAGTATGATGATAGTTCATTTACCTGATCTTAGCCTGTTCCTTCACCTGTAAGATGGAGATAATACGAGATCACTAACAGTGTTTGTGAAAGCACTATATTTAAAAGAAATGTGAAATGTTATAAAATAATGAATGGATGAAAATTTAAGTCAAATTAGTAGGGTTGGGTCTCCATAACTTCCTCCTCAAGGAGCTTTCCTTGTTCTATTTCCTTACTCTATTACAGACTGAAGAACATCAGTGACTCTAACGAAGGCTCTGGTCCAGAACAAGCTCAGTGCTGTTACAGTGGGCTGGCAGAGCCACAGCTCATGGCCCTTGTCTTTGCAATAGTTGTGTGCATGTGTTTTGCTGGATCTTTTTGTCCCTCACAGCAGGCTGGAGGTGGAAATCATCATCACCACCATTATCTTTACTCACACGGACTTATCCATACTTAATTGACAGTTTTTGCAAAAGTCGTTCTCTGGCTCATCTGTGCCTCTACACAGCCCTCTGCAAAGTAGGCAGCCCAAGTTTGAATATTAAGCTGTTTTTCCAGCCTTACCTGCAGCCTGGAAGTGGCAGATCAAAGACCTGAACACACTTCTCCAGTGCTCACGCCTTTGCTCCCTGGTTCCAGGGCTGCTCCTGGCTCAGCTCCCAGCTTCCCACCCTCACCAGAGTCCCAGATCAGAGAGAAGGGCTTCTCACTAGCTGCAGGGTCTCCCCCTGACCTTGTGCCCTCTCCAAGTTCGGTGGAGACCTTTCCTTATCCAAAGGGCACTTTAATAAGTTCAAGGTAATGTGAAAAGCAAATGGGCAAACTGTTTTGACTACAGGCGAGGTGTATGCTAGAGAGCTGGAAACTGGACCCAAGCCTGCCAGCTGCTCTCTCTCCCACCCCTCACAGCCAGTCTAGCCGGCAGTAGCCCTGCCTTCCCTCCAAGAAGCTGTGCTCAGAGTGTCACTCTTCTAACCCACAGAAATCTCTTCATAGTCGTTTAGGAGAAATTCATCAAGGTCTCTTATTTAGAGTAATTTGGAGGAATTCAACTATACAACATGGATTTAAGAAGTACCTATAGGCTTAGTGGTAGTTTGAAATCCATCCATTAAACCAATCTCATAAGCTAAACAAATAAATATCCTCAACTTCTCACACCAGAATTGTTGGCTCATCATGTTGTGATGAGAACTATCAGCATTGCCTCTGTAATAATGTCAGTTATTACAGTGAACTGGAAGCAGACAGGACACAAGGACACCTGGACAAATTTACAGCATCTTGGATTTAATGATTTTTCTACTGGTAACTAGGGGAAAAAGAATAGGGTTTCCAGATGACATTGCTTCTGCATGTCATCCCTGACAACATCCAAACCTGGTTATAAGAGGGACTTAATAGTAACCAGACACTGGGGTACAGAGACCCAAATTTTCTTGGGGTACCCCAGATCAGACATCCT